TATGAGCTGGTTTGCATCTCTCGATTTGGAAGGTGACTTTAGTGATGAGTAATTGGGATCAAGCAGTTATCCTTTGCTGTTTCCTGTACTAATTCCCAAATCTCCTTGCTTCCTCGAATGTATGTTTACCATTCTATAGATAAATGGGAACTTAATTAATCAATATTCTCTTTCAGTTCTGTTCTTGCTTTGTGGGTTTCATTTTGTTTTCTGCCTTGCTTCTGCTTAATTAATATAACTTTGTCTGTTGCCTCTTGTATATCACCAGTGATGTCAGTTCAGTTTTGGGAAGTGTTTCCCAGGAATAAGATGGAGACTGGATGAGTACTTAGTACTTCTATTCAGGACATTTGGGTGTCATCACACTGGAATTATGCTTCTTTCAGCTGGAAATATGTGAAGATGTCAGCTGTTCTTGAGGCTGGGTTTCCTTCAAATGTAGGTATTTTTCACTTTAATCTTTTCCTACAACTTAAGCAGCTTGGCCTTTTGTATCAGCCATATAAACTTACCTCTTAACTCAATGCATATTCTGAGTCCCTGCTGCATATTCATTTATTGATGATGTATGATGAGTGGTTATATAAAACAGAACTTCCTCAGTATTGGCACTTAAATTGCTAAATTCCTTTTCAAGCAATACTACCTTTGTTAAAATTGTAAAATGCAGGGTAAGGAAGATCATAAATCATTACTCCTTATGCATTCTCTTATACTGCTTCCTTTCCTAATTTTGCTTCAGTGTTATATCTTTACCTGTAGTGTGTTTATATTATATATAGTGTGATGTGAGCCGCCCCGAGGCTTCGGCGAATGGGGCGGCATAAAAATGTTTTAATAAATAAATAATAAATAAATTATAATTAAGCCACTGTATGAAGCCTAATGTGTAGGAAAGCATAATGTAAATATTTTAAATAACCTTCATTTATTCGAGAAATCCAAGTGAAGTATCATAGGGCTACATCGTGGAAGTTTATGTGCCATACCCCTAAAGCCTTCCTCCGTGATTCAGAGTTCCAGTGGCGTTTGCTCATCATGAAGAATCATTAGGTTGGCTTTCCCACACAACATGTAAAAGGCAAGCTGTATGTTTTATGTGCATTTGACATACTGCAACATGACCTGCTCCACTCAACCTAGTCTTCCTTTCTTGACTTTGGTTCACAGGTGTGCCACATACTGTTTGTAGGTGAATTATTGGCTTTAGCTGTTACAAGAATGTTCTTTCGTGTCTGTTCTTGTGAAGAGCTAGATCAGGCCCCTCCATCATGGTGCCCTCAAAATGATTTAACTTCTGTCTAACCAAGCCCACATGACTGATGGTCATGAATCATGGGAATAGTGGTCCAAACACCTGGAGAGCACCAGACTGGGCAGGACTGAGCCAGATGTAAGAGAGCTTTCCCATCATTCAGTGACCTTTTGTAGCAATTTCTCCCCTGAATCTGTTTTTATGAAAGCAGCATGGTTTCTCATTTGAGCATAATTGTAGCTACTCGTTCATGTAAGTGCAAGAAACCTAAAACTGGTGTTGGTGATGATATTTCTCAGCTTAGTTAGAACTAAGGACTCTTTTAATGCATGTTTTATGACTTTGAGGACTTCACGCTTTCCTTAATTCAGTCTTTGGTATTGCAAGATTTCTATTTTACCCCTCAGTGTTTACCTAGTTGCTACTTAAAATATCTTTGGTGGAGGAGATTGCTAGGCAACCTGTTACATTGCCCAGTAAGGAGCTATAATAATTTATATTAAATCTAATTTTCTGCATATGCTTTGATATTCTGATGAATGGGGCAAACACTGATCTTCATGTCATCTTTGGTGATTATATTTCATGTCTTTTCTCTTTTCCCTTCCTCTGAGCCCTCTCAAGCTGCCTTAACCTACTTGGTTTCTTTCCTTCTCTCATGTGTCCCAGTATTCTGTAAACTCTTTAATCAATCCCTTTATGTTCGTTCTCTCTCTCTCTCTCTCTCTCTCTCTCTCTCTCTCTCTCTCTCTCTCATATATTCCATGTAGTGCTGAAAAGTTGGTCTCTCTATTGTTTTGTGACATGGGCTGCAATGTATAGTTCGGTCAGTGCAGCAGGACTAGCTGCATCTAGCATACCTGATTCAGCATTTGTAGATTGAAATAATGTTACCAGAATGGCTGAGGAAACTGCTGGCTTTTCATACATTTCTCCTCATGATATTGTGTCATGAAGTTATAGTTGAATTCTGTACCTTGGCAGACAGGAGGAGATACTGTAGTATCCAAACAAGGTTAGCAATGTGTATGCTTGTCTGTCCATGGGTTTCTGTTTTGGCTTGCTAAGGTACGGTAAAATCTGAGACAGACACACTTGCTTGGAAGTATGACACAGTGACTGGTTTGCACATTATGGCAACATTTGGTGACAGGTATGGGCTAATTAACCCATTAATTAATGGTTAATTAAGTGTGGGAATGCATGGCAAATGCACACTGCTTCTGGTTTGCAGCTACAGCTTATAATATTGCATTTGTAGGCTGCTAGCATGACCTTCAACCCATAGACTCAGCATTCAGCAGTAAACCCTAACCCCACTTCCTGTTACATATGTGTGGTAGTTTTTTTACAACATCTAAATCATTTTGTGAAATTAGTAAATAAAATACGGAAAAGTAATGGGTAATTTTTAGTGGTTTTTTTAGGGTTATGGAGACAGTGTGAACCCAAAATGGAGAGTAGTTGAGAAATGGTCACACCGTAATTTCAGTTGACCTTTAGAAAAGTGTGCATTTTTATGCTTCATGTTACCTCTGGAAAGAAAGAATCAAGAACCCAGGGAAGTTTATGGTTATGAATTTATTTTTTAGCTTTTAAGTAGGGAGCTTCCAAGCAAATATTTATTTAGCACCTACTTTCTGTTTCAGTTCTGCCTTGCAAGTGAAATAATTACAGGACTGTCTAGAAAAAAGTCCAAATGCTTTGTGCTTTAGTTACTTTGTTGCAACTTTGCTACTTTGTTCTAAATGCTTGCTGCTTGCATACTTCTTGAGGATTTTCTGGGTGAAATATGCTTGCTGCTGTTACATGTTTGCTGCATTTCTTGCTGCTGCTACTAATTGTATGAAACATGCGTAGCACTTTCACTCAGCAATTCTGAAAGTTAGGTCAATATTTTCCCCGGAATGTGGTTATGGTACACTAATGCAGAGAAAGTATTGAGCTGAAGTACTGGGCCATTTCTCATAATATGTCAGCTCATCATGTGTTAATTTATCCCTGTGGTGCTGCAGTGCATGCCACCATTATGAATATGCAACCCCCACTCAAAACAACCCGTCTCCTAACACTGTAACAGACTGAATTATGTCAAGGTAGTGCTCAGGTATTTTTTGTTGACCAGTTTCTCATATCACAACAATGCCTATCAAGACTGGTTGGAGGTGGCATATTCATGAAGGCAGCTGGCAAATGACACAGCTTCTTGAGGGTGAATTAACCTACAACCTTCATGTTGTATGAACCGGATAACTGAGTTTATGATAGGCAGAACTTAGGTCATTTGGTTCACAGCTGAATTTCCTTGGCTGCAATCCTGTTCATGCTTACTTGAAAGTAAGCAGCATTGAGGCTTACTTCTTAGTAGACATGCATGAGAGTTTGCCATTATACTGCCATTCTACACCAACAGATTTTTATTAGTGATTGAGGATGCTTACTTGTATTAATGGAAGTCTAAATGCTGCTCTTAGTCTCCCTTGTCTTTTGTGTGGTCACAGAATTCTGATTTTCTGATAAGGGTTTGAGCTCATGGAGGTCAAGGAAGAAATAACTCAGGAGGCAAAATGGACAAAGGGCTGTGCAGGCCACACAATCTACATCTGCTGACTTAACTGTTGGACCTTTAGCTTGGATTGGCCATGTATCAGCTGAGAACTTGCTCTGGAGCAATATGAGCTGACTTAACTACTTTTGAACAAAAACGGTCTTTTAAAGATTTAGATTGAATTATATAGTTTTCATGCAGGTGTGCAGAATATAAAAGGAACTTGTTTCTCTTTGGATTCAACTGGAGAATGCTAACAAGTCTGCATATGCTTTTTACCTTGCTCTAGCTTTCTGGATAGCTATTTATGGAACGTCTTTCATTTTCTTAAGTCATGTTACTGTGTGTTGCATTCTAGTTTTGGAGCAGCCATTGCTGATGTTTCCTTTACTTCTTGTAGAAGTAACAGCCTAAGGGCTGCTGGACACTTTGCAAGTTGGCAGTGATACCAAGTAGACTGTCTGCCATTTGAGGATAGCTGGTATGTGGCCATGCATTGGCTGTAACCAACACTTTAACCCTCCGCCTTATTCAGGCGAGTGAAGTAGAGACCAGCCAGAAGTGCTGGTTCTGTGCCACATGGCAAAGTCACACTTGTAAATCTTCCCACTACTATTCTTGTTGCTTTGTACTTCCACGGCCAAACTGCTGTTTCCTTGTCCTTTCTATTACAAGAGCTTTCTAGGCCTTGGACTCAACACTGTAATGTGAATAGCTGTATGTTTAGATATGGATTAATTTAACAAAAAAGTATTCCTCATTTCTGTGGAATATATATAAGACCTGGATGTTAATATTTGGCAAATACAACTTTTCAGGTCTGTTCTGCAAAACAGAGGGGATCTTAAACTACTTAAGACGGTTCCTCATTAGTACTACATATTTCTCAATGAAAATAGTTTTTTTTAAATCTGAATGCTTATACCAGGGGTCCTCAAACTTTTCCACCGGCGGCCAGTTGAAAGGTGCCGGTGCTGGGCGCAGGCTGGAAAGGTGGTGCCGGTGGTGTGTGTGTGTGGGGGGGCAGCACATGTGGGCATGCGTGCTGGGGCAGGGCACGTGGCGAGACAAGGCGAGGCGTGAGGGGGCAGGCACAGCAAGGGGAGGCGAGGTGCGGGTGTGTGGCAAGGAGAGGCGAGGTGCGGGCAGGGGCGGGCACGCGCTGCGAGGCGAGCTCATGAGGTAGCGGCTTGCTCACCGAGTGAGCAAACTGCCGCCTCCCCACGTGCAGGGTGAGGTGGGCAGTGGTGGTGGGCATGTGCATGGGTGTGGCGAGTCCAAATGGGCATGACTGGCCGGATCTGGCCCCTGGGCCGTAGTTTGAGGACCTATGGCTTACACCACTGGCTTCCCTGGATGGTCCGCAATTGCCATGCCAGAATGTTTTCGTGCAGAAACATTAAACATGTGGCTGAAATGTATATAGTGCTAAGGTAGACCTGAATTCTTGTTTGGCAAGAATTGCAACTTAACGTGATTGTACTGTTGCATTTCAGCTTCCACCTTTGTGTAAAAGCTTGCTTAAAAGGTCCTATTTTGAGTTCTGGCTTGCTTTAAGAGGCAGTTAGTGTACCTAAGTAGTTGTGTGGCAGCATATATAAGTATAGTTTTGACATCACAATAAACCATCTTGAATCATGATGTGAGCAAGTTGCAACAAGCTTCGAGCTCTTTTGCTCCCCTTACCCCCACTTGTCAGGAGGAAATCAGATGCTTTGAGATTGTTTAGGCTTTACTTCCAAGCCCTAAACTGTGGTTAGTCTTCAGCATGGTTTGCACAAAATAAGCCAGCTTCATAATTCATGGTTTGAAGTTGGCCTCCTGCAAGCAAATCACAGTTAATGGTAAAGCGAAAATTTGCACTCTTGTTTTAGGTACACTAGGAGAGTAGAATATTGCTGCAGCCATAAAGCATAGTTTATTGTAGCATCTGAACCAGCGTATTAAGTAGAAATCTGTACTGACTTCCATATTGTCAGTTCATCCATGCTCTTTTCATTTTGAGTATAGATCTTCCTCTTAGTGTTCAACATGGTAGACTCATTTAAATTGGCAAAGAAAAAGCTAATAATCACTGATTAAATCACATTTCCCATTGATACTACTTCACATAAACTATGGTATTTACAACTAAGTAAATATTGTGCTATTTCATTCTTACAACTGGGGTTTGTATCTCTTTGTCATGTATATATTTGTCACAGTTTTCTCTTTTACCTAGAGAGGGATGTCATTAAAGTACTGTTTCATAAACCTAAAGCAGACCATGTTTAACCTGTGCATAACCCATGCTTGCCAGGCTCAAATGATTTGACAACCCTTGCATAGCATTGTGTTTTCGAACAATTGCACATGCAAGCTATAGCAGACTTTCACGTTGGGCAAGTAGCATCACTGCTTTTATATTTTCAACATTATCTGTGTAACTGAGAACTAAAAAAAAAGAAAAAGATTGTGAAAGGTCTGTCCATGTCTTTATACGGGAATTGGAACTTGGAGTACGTACAGAGCAGTTTCTACAGGCATCGGTACTGGGTCTCAGTACACTGTAGTAGAGGCCCAGTTATGCCTTCCAGCAATGTCAGATAAGATCCAAAATCATTCATCTCCTTTGTGTACACAAGTGACAGTAACTAGGTCCTGACATTCTTGTCTAAAAGAATCAGTGGGAAGTTAATGAAATTCCGCTAGCACCTGTGGGCTATTGTCTTCCCCACAGTTGTAAATAATTTGTGAACTGCTAAGTGTTACAATACTGTATGTTGCTAATTTGTGAGGTGTGCACTCTCAGTGGTATTTCTTGTTTGTTGATCATGAGCTGCTACAATACATATTTCACTCTGAAATCTCACATGTGTAGAAGACGCTAATATTGTTCTCTTGAGTAACTGTGTTCATGGTTTGTGTGTGTAAGTGGGGCATGGTAGCTATACTAGCAGTATTGTGCTCTGGTGATAAAAATACACATGTTCAGTACTTTTAATACCCTGATCCTAAACCTACTTATTGGAAAGTGAATTCAGTACAACTTGTATTCAGTTTTGTATGCTATGGATCATGAACTGTCAGTTTTACTCAGATTTGATTTATTTCCTCAATAACTTTGGAAAATATTTTAAAGTAATTTAAAGGAACTTTAAATTAGGATTTTAAAGTAACTTAAGGAACTTCTAGTATGTGTATCTTGCATACCTATCCTAAAAATGAAGCCGGACCATTTGAAATGCCTTCTTGCCTTTAAATACAGAATACCCTACCTTTTGCCTTGGAACATTTGGATTAGGAACCTTTCCTCTAAGTTTGTACTAATTTTCAGCAGGATGCTCCCCAAATGCATGCTTACTTGTGACTGCATGAATGATGATTCTATTTTTTTTTTTATTTAAGATTATTGCTTGGCCAACTTTATAGATAATACCCTCTCATACTGTGAGCACAGTCTGCTCCATAAGTGTATTCCTGATTGTTCCTGAACACCATAAACATAGACCTACAGACATCAAAAATGGTGTGTTTATGGTAGATGGCTATTAAGGCAAAGTAAAAATTATATTTACAAAATAAATATGCCACATGACTTACCTTTCCTCTGTGAGTATCATTTGAAGGATCATTTTTCCTGCATACATGAATAATGTTTAGCAAACAGCAGCAAAGGCAGACTTCTTCATTTATCATAATTGGTGGGTGCCCTGGTATATATGTAAAAAGGGTAGAGAATACTGCTGTCGAGACATGGCTGTTTTATATCCTGTCACCACACTTTAAAATATCTTCAGAATGTACTTTCTTTTGGTAATACCTTCCTATTCAGTAATATTTTTTTTATCAAGTAGGATATTTCTTCATTTCAGATTTCTAGGTATATTTCTTTTTTCCATCTTTCTTGCATTTACTCTTCACTGCTGGATTTTCACGGTTTCAGTGTCTGTTATGGAACTGGAATTAAAATGTGGTTTTCAGAGGTCTGTCTCATTAGCTTAAAAAAGGTGGGGAATTAATATAAATTGAATAATTCTTGTGTGAACTACTTAAAGTGTATTTGATATAAAATAAAATCAAGAAATAAATAGGTTGAATTTTTTTTTTTAGGTTGAAACTTTTTATTTAAATAAAAACATACTACAAAATATGGATCTTGAACTGGTAATCTTGAGGGGATAATAAGTCTGTACCTCAGTCTAGCTTTGGCCAAAATGAAGAGCAGGGAGAATAGCCATATGGTGTTAGGAAGCTTCTTCCCACTATTTGGCTAAAAGAAGTATGCCGGTTCTCAGATTCCTGTCAAGACTTCTATGTTATGCTTGCTTGCTGGTCTGAGCAATTTTGGAGACTCTGCTTCTTGCTGACTATGGACTGCCTTTACCCCCTTCTCTCTTAACCTTGCTTAGCTCTTACCTACGTCAACATAAGCTGGGTATGACAGCATCCGTGATGACAACTTTCTTTATCCCTTTTTTTTAAATCTAAGAGTAGCAGCTGCCTTTCTAGAACCATCTCACATGCTGCATTTTTAAAATGGATTGCTTAAGGAGGAAAAAACCTTATCTTTTTTTAAACCTACCCTACCATCCATGAGGGAGTTGAACATTACTTTGGGGATTTGTCAACAGTTTTCTGTTAGTGGTGATTTATGTCAAAAAAGTAAGTGAAATATATCAGAAGGTTGTGCTGAGATGACAAAGAAAGAACAGTAATTATAACAGTATTCCCTTCAACTGAGGTATTCAAATATCTCTTTGTAATTCCATTTGAAGCACAGATTTTTATCTTTAGAAGTGGTTAGAAAAGCTGCCTTATGCAACTGAATAAAATACAAGTTTAGCACTTTGTTCTGCATGCTTCCTCTCTCTGGAACTTAATCCTCCTTTCATTTAGTTAAACTTGAGGTAAGGCTTATCTGGAAAGTTTGGAAAAACCAAAATAGTATGATGTGTTAGAGTCATAGTTAACAGCTTATTACAGGGGAGGTTCATTTTGCAGAAGAGTTCCAAGACAGTCACCCATCTCCTTCCTTCTGAGCAGAATGCCAAAGTCTTCTTGGAATAATTTCCCCTGTAATACATGTATTTTGCCTTTGGATTGACTGTGTGTATGTTCGGGTGAGATTGTTTTCAGTGTCACATTTGGACTTCAGTTGCGGTACTTAAGAGGGAGCAGATCCCTGCTCAGTGATGAGGCCCACTAGGTGACACCGGAGTGGTCATTGTGCTTCAGCATTATTTGTCCCATGAGATGGCTCTGAGAATAAAAAAGAAACTTCCTGTGAAATCGGCTCCGAGGTGCTTGGAGAATGAGTGAGATACAAGTGTGATAAAAACCATTAACTGGACCAGTGGGCACAAGCATATTAGAAAAGCCGTGAAAATGAAATGTTCAAGCCGATCAATTTGTTAATTTCCACTGAGAAAACTCTCTTGAGACAAATCTTCAGTGCAAACCTGTTTCTCTCCATACACTTACACTGCAGGGAGAAAATATGTGGGTTATATATCTAACCCTGTCTTTCTGTCCACCCACCCTTTTTTCCAGGAAAATATTGGGAAATACAGCCCGCTTGCATGCTGCTTTATCCCAAAGTGGTGGAGTGAACTAGTGCATGTGGGTCTGGTCCACGTCTGCTTAGCTTCAGTAGTGTTGCCGCATAAGATAGCCTTGGATCATTCGTTCATTCACTTGGTCCTGCTGTGCGGAAATGCTTTAAAAATGCATGGGAGTCCTCTGCAGACATTCCGAACATGAAACTATTCATAATGTAAAATGGGCAGACATGCATTCTCGACTTTCTGATGCCAAAACAATGCAGTCATTTTCATCCATTGCTTTATTTGAAATGCCACTTGGTTTTTGAGAATTTGTGGTCACTGCAGTTGCGCTTCATGAAATCATTTCTAAAGCAACCTTAAAATGGTTTTTGGATAAGTAGAAAATTTCAGTGTGCTTTCTGCTTTTCCTTGCTCTTTTCTCATGTAATAAGCTGTATGTTTCTGAGGATGTCTTGGCTTTTACTTCTGTCAGTGCAGTGTAGTGATTTAATTGTCTTTCCCTAGTTGAAGTAGAAATAAAATCTGCAGGGAATCAAATAATTCACAATGAAACTGCAGTGTTAAAGATGTTAATGCTTAGTACAGCTTCCCCCAATCTTCCGCAGGCCTTGGAATGCTGGGAATTGTAGTCAGACATTTGTGGGAGGGCATTAAGTTGAGAAAGGATGATAAAGAAATGTTTTGCTTGGAATTCTTCTTAGCCATTAATCCCAGCTGGTACTTACAGAATTTATATTTTTGTTTTGTTTAACTAAGCTATGCTTTGTAATTTAACATACAATGTCCATAAATAAAAAACCCCACTATAATTTACTAATTTCTGGGGGTGTCATTAAATAATCACTGTCAAGTAGAAGAGAGAATGTGGAGATAATGCAAGAGGGATGTAAAGCATAAAATATTTAGCCTGTACTGTATTGGCTGAAATGTTTCTCGTGCTATGAATTTTCTCTTGGAATTTAGAATCCAGTACAGGAGAACTAGTAATATCTAGTCTCCAATTTAGGTGAAGACACTGCTTGCCATCATCATTGCCACATATCTCATTGGAATGGTTTTTGGCTGACTAGTTATTTTCTTGTTGAGTAGATGCTTAGTTTGGATGGATAATTACCTAAAACTGAGAGCTATTTCATCAGGAAGGAAGTATTTCTCTTATGCATGATCCTGTACTAAGATCACCCTAACCCTATCATGCAAAATCCTTTCTGTTGTTGCCCGAGATTCCTAGTAGGGTGTCTTTTAAGACTCCTGATTATTTTGTGAACATATTGTGTGGGCAATGACTAAAGTGTTGGATTGGGGCTTGGGAGATCCAGGTTCTAGTCCCTAGTTGGACATGAAACTCACTAGGCGACTTTGGCTCAAATGGAGAAGAGGGCTCTGTAGACTCCTTTGCATTCCTAATGAGAGTAAAAAGACAGGGTATAAATGCAATAAAATGTGTAATTTCTTCATCTCTTGTATCCTTTCCCTTTGAACAGTTTTTGAGACTAGTGTTAAGGCAAATATCCTATGTACCGTTTGAAGTGGAACAGCCAAGTAACCTTTGTGTGTATAGGGAAGGGCCCAGCTTGTGCACATTACAGTCTGCCCAGATTCTGAGGAGGAGGTGGAGGGACAGAGGAGAGGAGATGACTTTGCAGTTTCAGGGCTACCTGTGAAGATCCTCAGACAGTGCACCAGGCTGCCTTGGAAAAGGCAGAAGACATTTCAGAACCGGATGGGGAAGAGTTCTAGAGAGTTCCTTGACCCTGTGTAGGGATGACAGGTGAAGCAGACAAACCAATTAAGTGTCCAATGTGTCCGCCATATCGCCCTCAAGAAGAACAGGCTGCTCATAGGGTGGGGTCAGAATCTTTTCTGGAAAAGCTATTTCAAGATATTTTAACTCTTCATACAAGCAGATGCTCTCCTTCAGCTTGTACGGAGTGTTACTTTGATTTATACTCTTGTAACTTGCTAAGCTCTGATAAAAAGACTGCATCTAAGGTCTTGTCTAAGTCTGCCCCCCCACCCCCCAAAAAAACGAATGGGGAATGACCTGCTCATTACTGTGCAGTGCATGTGCCACTTCTAATATGGAACTAGAAACTAGGCATACATGATCAGCAGATGTGGATAGCATCTCTAGCGACTGAAGCAGCTGCATCCATTTATTGCTGTGGGTGAAATTCCGGGGGACCGCCACCATTAATCTGGTGCTTCTCCTCTTCATGTGGCATGCATGCGTGTGTGCATGCTTATGTGTGGTGCGTCAGTAAATTAGGTGGGCTATGCCCCCTGTACATTTTATAAAGTCTCTTTCAGAGGCTTCAAAGGGTTGAACATGAAATTGTTCAGGGCAGCCAATGTGCAGCCTCTAGTTTGTATGACTGAGGATGCACCTGTGACCAGTACACACACACACACACACACACACACACACACACACACGGGCAGCCTGAAAGCCTGTGTAGCCCAGTATTCAGTTCCCACAGCAGCCAGCCAGATGCCTATGTTACACCCATAAGCTGAAGATGGGTATAGTAGTACTGACCTGTTCCCCTGCAACTGGTGTGCAGGGTCAATATAGCCATCATGAGCAGGAGCCATCTATTACTTTATTCTCCCTGATTTTAAAATCCATTTTTTAAAGCTGTCCAAGTCAGGCATTTGCTATTTCATTTTCATTGCAGCAGTATAAGTAGTTGCATGTGTCAGTTGCTCCAGTGTCTTGCTTTTCTCTATAGCAATGGCAATAAACTTGCCAAACAGCCTATTTAATCTTTTCTGTCTCTGAATGCACAGAAACAGCAAGCATTGGAACTGTGTTAACTTTTTGACATCATCTAAGGGCTAGGAAATTGGGACACTATTTCTTATAAATGGCTAGTGACCCAGACCTTATTTTAACATATGGCATAAAATGCCCTTAATTTTTTTTTCTTTTTGAAAAAGCAGCAACGGCAGCATAGGGAGGGAGCTTCTATACCCTCTTTTTTACTTTTCGGTATTGCATAAATAAATCATTGGGTAGAGAATCTGTATTGCAGCTATCTTTCCTGCTAGCGGAATTGCTCTGACTTTGATGTGGTCTAATTAAGTTCATATTTCCTATGGACAGCTTACAGTGCTTAAACAAAACAGAACTGAAGTCTCTGCTTGCCTAAATAAGATCCAGTGAGTTCTGAAGCTTTGACCTATATTTCCCTTAAGTTCTTCTTGCTGAAAAGATGTTGCTTAGAGTATTTCCTTCAAAGTAACATGGTAGGTTCCCCAAGAGCATACCTTGCCCTCACCCGTCCCTTAGAAATAATAATTCTGTTCCGTGTGTGATCTTGCCTTGCAAATAACTTATTGGTATCATGGATAGCACTGAATAAAAAACTGCACATAGAGTATCAGGTAGGCCAGGCTGCTTGGCGTGCCTGCTGCATTACTTCTCAAGTCACGTGTCCCTGAAGATTAGATCAATGCATTACCTAATAGGATGTTTAAAAACATTTTCACGATTTGCTGACACAGGGGAATGATGAGGTAAAGTAATAGATTTTTATACTCTATCTTAGAACACACTACTGCGGTATTCGCAATCATCTTGTTCTCATGTGAAATTGGCTACTGCAGTGGTGCATTGCAGGAAAAGGATAAAATCAGCACATGGATGTGCCTGTGTGTGTGTATTGAACAAGGTTCTGAATGGAGAGCAATTTGCAATCTGAAACAATTTTCCATCCTACTCTCGTCTTGTAAAGAAAGGGGAGTTTCCTTTTGAGTACATAGGGTTGCAGCTACTTAGGTATATTCTGTGTGTGTGTGTGTGTTCGTGTTCATGCAATATCAAGGGTTCTTAACCCATTTCATTCCTAGAGGAGCTGGTTTACTGAGTTTTTAAAACCAAGTGTTTGCAGTTTCTAACACCCTGGAGAAATTTTTCCATCATTGAGAGCTAATCATGAAATTCGAGCCTATGTTGAAGATGACTGATTGTTCCTCTGAGGTAAATCAGGTGCATTTGTGTTCATCAAAACAGATATTTGAGATAATTACTCTCCCACTTGTCTGTAGTTTAGCCCACACTATGCCTGCATTCTAGCAGTTCAGGGTTATACTTAGTGGCAGGAACCGTTTCTTCTGTGTATGTCTTTTGCTTTATATATTGGCACAATTTTAGAAAAGCTTCGTGCTTCAATTTCAGAATTGAAATTTAGTACCAATATTGGAAACTCCTCTGGAGAGGTTTTTTTTTTTTTTTTGGCAAATACAGCAAATCAAATCGTATCTAATTTAAGTGCGTTGGTCCATGTAACTATTTTCCAGTATATCTACCACATAACAAAAATATTCCCGGCGCCAGTCTTGTCAAGAAGGACAGAATTCTTCTAGTAGTGTACAGTGAAACCTTACATGCGGAGAGCCAACAGCCTCTGTAGGCTTATAGTCTTCAGTTACACATAAACATTCATTCTTGTTTTTATTATGCTCAAACTTTTCTAATGTTTTAATTCAGATATTGTTGTACTTCATGTATTGTATTCTTTAAACAATCTGTCCCGCAAAAAGCTAATTTCCAGTACTAATACAAATTATGCTTACTTTCAGTAGACATAATTCTGCTTTTGCTATGCATTGGGAGAGTGTTAACTCATGTGTTAATTGGTTTGCTGAGTGCCAGGATGTTTATGTTGTCAGTAACAAATGCACTGTGAATGACCACTGTTAATAATGTGATCATCACTTTTTCCCATTAAATTTCCTTCTGTCCTCACTTTACAAATCTCCCCACCCTGATATACATGCCATATGTACTGTATGAAATTCTCCATACATCTAATGATGGCCACCAGTCTAGGAGAGTTTATCCTCAATTGCATTTGTTAGATTTGCTTGTATTGCAAAAATAGCTTTTAGCTGATTTTTTTTAGAAAGCGTCTTCATGTTAAAATCCCAAGTGAACTTGTGTTAAAGGCAAGCCCCACTGAATCAAGAGGGACTTTTTTCAGGGTACGTGAGCATAGGATTGTGCTGCAATTCTACCACATTTAACGGGCTACAAGGGCTACAAGAATGGTTGAGGTTAATGCCCTGGTGCAAAATGCAGCCAGTGGTATCTTGTTGGTGTGCTTGAAATCTCCTGAACAGCATTTTGATTGTATGGTATCCTCTGGATGATTAAACCACTGAAGTGCACTGGTGTTTATCAACAGCTGAGAATGTTTCCATTTCTATGTTCTGTGTTACAAATATACAGACTTCCTCTGAAACCTCAGTTTAGTGAGTTTTAATGGTAACTGTCAGGATTAGCAACTCTATATGTATTTAACACCCCTACCTTGTGATTCACAAGCCACCTTGTGGTTGCCAGGTCCCTTCTTTCTGACTTCTTTTTATCTTAATGAGCTTCCGATAAAAGTCAAATGGAAGTGCGATTAGGATGATACAATTCTGTTGTACTTGAAGCTAGGGCACAAGGATTTTCAGTACACTGGATGTCCTTTATAAAGTAGCAGATTATTATAGAAAAGGTTCCCAGGGTTCTAGCATTACACCAAGATAAGGAAACTGGAGAAATAGCATGCAGATCGGGACTGTCTCAGTTTCGTTGAACTCACTAGGCTGTGACACAATTAAGAGGAGGCTAAGCTTGATTCACTCCTTATTCTAGAGACAAAAATACAAGGGGCACATTTACTTATGGAGAAGTAAAAAAAAGGTTCTGTGCTGGGACAGTATTGCAGTGGAGGTAAAAACTACTTTAACCCTGTAAGCAGGGGTCTGGCTTCTACAGATGAATTGCATGGCTATGTGGATATAATGTGTTTGGATACACAACATCCATTCCTCCCTCTTCACATGTGCCTGCACATCATAATTAATATTTGACTAATTTGAAGATAAATATGAGCACATGTCCTATTACAATGTATAGAAAGTTGTTTTTCCTCATGCATTGTATTAAGAATTCAGTGTATGTGAGGTTATTTCTTTATTTAACGTATAGTTAAACTATGGAATGCACTGCCACGGGAAGTAGTGATGACCACAAATCTTTAAAAAAAACAACTACTGGACAGGTACATGGAGAGTATTTGCGGCTTCTGGCTTTAATGGCTATGTGCTGCCTGCTTCACCAGAGGTGGCATGCCTGCATGTGCCGGTTGATGAGGAGTTTAGGCAGGTGGGGCTCTTGCACTTGTCCTTCTCGAGCGATCCTGTGAGCAGATGGTTGCCACTGTGTGTGCAGCATGCTGGATTAGGTGGACCGTTGGTCTGGCCAGCATGGCTTTTATATGTTTCTATGTTTTCATATTATTCTAATAAGATACTTCTTTCAGTAGCGAAACTAGTGATTGTAGTTTTGCTACAATCAAGAGAATTTTATACTAGATGGCAATCCATGTTCCCCTGCTGATCCTCCTCTAAAACATTCAAACACAAGTTCAAAATTCGGAGTCTCTGCCTTTCCATTTGTTTCCTGCTTGTTGTAACTCCGATATTGAAAAGAATGCATGTACATTAAAAAAAAGTTTTTTTTTTTTCATTTTCTAGGTTAGTGTTGTTGTTTGCCATGGAAATTGTTCCTCTGCATGTGTCCCTCCTAGTAAAGGGTGTAATAGTCATATTTGGCTTTTAAACTAATACTGATCTTATATAGAGAGAGGTACTTGGGACTTTTTGTGTAATTAAATTTGCATTTGCTCAGGGTTAGGATTAATTTTAATAACTGGAGGTTTCTTTAATGAATTCAGCAATTCATTGGAGCACAGAAAGTCCGTAGCTGATTAACTGAAGACTACATATATAACATAATCTTGGACTTGTTTGTCTGACTTTTGCAAGTTAAATAAGCCAGAGCTGGCTTTCATCTTGGTACAGTGGACAGTATTTCTCCTCTATGCATTAAACACTAGACGGGGGAATGTATATGCAATCTTTTTCAGATTGGTTGTTGACAGAAAGGAGCTGACTGACAAGCAAAGCAGGCCTCTAACTGATAGTATGGTAGTTGAGTATCATTTTGTATTTGTCCCTGTATCATCAGGAACAATGGTATATCAGAAGTATTATGGACTTGAATATCTAGTGTGTCAGTGGGCAAACATGCAGAATTGTTGCCTCTATCCCTGCTGAACAGAAAAGTCAGTTCTAGCTTTGTCTGGCTCTTTTTAATATTGGAAGGCAGAAACAGATGTCTTTTACATTAGAATCCACAATCCTAGCTGGAGGGTGGACTAATTTCTATGATACAGTATTTGCTGTTTGTAATGAGCATTCTCCTTCTCTTTCAGGCAAAGTCGTGCATCTGTCATATGTGTGGTGCCCACCTCAACAGACTTCATTCTTGCCTGTACTGTGTCTTCTTTGGCTGTTTTACAAAGAAACACATTCACGAGCACGCAAAGGCAAAGCGACACAACCTAGGTAAGTAATCATCCTCGGC